AGAGGACGCCCTGCATCTGGAAATTGCCTCCAACCTGAGCCACTTTCTAAGTCACTTCCAGCATGTACTGGCAGAGTATCTTCCACCAGCAGCAGAGCTAGAGGTAACCTTATTCACAATCTCTGAGCTACTTCTCACTTCTTGTGTGTGTGTGTGTGTGTGTTTGCACTCAGTTGTTCAGTCATGTCCAACTCTGCAACCCCACGGACTGTAGTCCACCAGGCTCCTCTGTACATGGGATTTCCCAGGCAAGAATACTGGATTTCCCAGGCCATTTCCTCCTCCAGGGGATCTTCCTGATCCAGGGATCAAACCCATGTCTCCTGTATCAACAGGCAGATTCACACTGCATCACCTGGGAAGCTCTCTTACTTCTTACAGGTGAAGAAACATACCCAGAGAGCTGAGGAGTTGGGAAGTAACTTAGATGAAACTCACCTCTTCTCATGCTCAGTCCAGATGTTTCCCCCATTTTATCACCCTGCCCGGATACAGGACAAAATGCCAGAGACTAACCAGAAGAGGAGCAGATTACTGAGGACAGACTAAGAGCCAGGCTTTGTGTTTGGTTCCTGGGCAAAGAGCATAGCAAGATGAACAGGGAAGGTGCAAGACCCCTGATTAAGTATGCAGTTAGCTAATATGCTTAGGAAAAGGTACTCCACTTCACTGATTAGCAGGGAAAGGCAGACTTAAACCACAATGATATACCACTGCTCAGGCTCTAGAACTAATATGAAAGAGACAGACAATAGCAAACAACCAGCAACAAAGCTGCAGAGCCGCTGGAATTCTTGCATTGCTGCTGGGGTGGAAATGGTATGACCACTTCCTTAGATGTTTGACAATATCTAGAAAAGCTGCCAGGGACACACCCTGCAGAAACCTATACGCCTGTTAAATACAAGGTTACTCATAGGCTCTCTATCAGAAGAATCTCACACTGGAAAAACCCTAAATTAAGCATTAACAGTAGACTAGATATACAAATTATAACACTTTCCTCCAAAGGAATACTATACAGCAATGAGAATGAACAACTGTCTTGCAAAATGTGACTGGAATTCACACATCTCTTCCACCTCACCTCCAAGTAAACTCCCGGGTCTAAGACCCAACACCCTACCCTGAGGATGTCAGAGCCTCAGAGCTAAGATCCCACACTGCGCTCCACCACCTTGGGCGGGCTCCCGATTCAGACTGAGCTTGGTCCCCCCACCAGTAGGGGCTCTCAGAATATTGTTCTGCCCAGGGATGTGTTGCCTAGGGCATCTCTCAGGATTGCTATGACGATAAGTTAGGGCCAGTGAGAAAGTGAAAGCGGTAAAATGTTTACTGAATTAACTATAAGGGAAATCTGTCTGAAACTCATGGAGAAGGCCAGAATTGGGGTGTGGGGGGTGAGGGAAGAGCCTGCAGGGGCAGCAGGCAAGAGACATGGGGCCAGAGAGGAAGGAATCCTGGCCCGGAGGCGCCTGCTGTCTCAGCCTCTGTGGTCTTTCTTCCCCCGGACCCTGGCGAGAACCCCTTCCCGGCCCTGTAGCTGGTTCTCAAGGCAGCAGACACAGTTCTCCTGCTGAGATTCCAGGCTGTTGGGAAACTCCTGCCACTATTCTCTTCAAAGCTCTTTGAAACTCTGAAGTGCTCTGGAGTGAAGCGCTCTCAGAACTACTGTCACCAGGCTCACAAACTCCTGGGTTGAAAAATGGTGCACAGAAGCGACCAGAATGCAGCGGATGGGCAAGCCTGTTTGCAAAGCTACGTGCCTGTGATGGGTTTCCCCTCCCCACCCTCCACCTTGACGTGGAATCACCAACTCTGTGCTGAGCTAGTGGAATCGCCTTGACTTTGAGGGAATATGAACATTTTTTATACTTAGCCATTCCAACCATAAAGATTTTTATCCTATTACCGCTAAGTGATGAGTTCAAGAAGAGAAATGATGATCATCTTCGACAGCCATTCCAACCGAGTAAATACCAGGAGGGTGAAATGCAATCCTAGATGGGGCCACAGCCCCTTCATTTCCCAGGATGGAAAAGAGCAAAGGAAAAATGTCTTCCCAGTGAGATGTATCAAAGTGTGGAATTTTCCCTCCAGGCAAGTGATGGGCATCCCACTGTTCAAACCATTTAGCACCGCACTGGACAGAGCCCAGGAGGATATGCCGAGGGGAACACTCAGACCCAGCCTGGCCAGGGGGAGGTGAACTAATGAGGCTTCCCAGCTCTCACCAACACCACCCCCCACCAGCCCATAGCTTCTGGGTGCATCCACCCTGCCACCTGCTCCCCTGCAATCAAAGCAACCCCATAATAAGCATTGCCAGGCAACAGCAAAAATATACATGTGCTTAATCAAAATATTTCCCCCTTCTCAAGGGGTGTGCCTCCACTTAATGGCTTCCTGTCTGCCAGACGTTTAATGTGCTACTTGGATGATGGCAAATCCAGCTGTTGTCACCAGAAGGTGCTGACGGGTGGGGGTCGGCAGGCCTGGGAAATGGGGACTATTTGCTGGACCAGTCAATGCTTTCTAAATAGCGGAACTCCCCTGGGAAATCTTCTTAGACTCACCCCAGCTAGACACTGTCTTTTCCTCACGTTGAAATAGTTATTTATGGCACTCCACCCCCACCCCACCCCCAACACAGGCAGCCACATCTATTCATCCTTGTGACCACTAGAAATGAAGGCTCTCATCCACAGTAACAGAACTATCGGCCTTAGGAGAGAATTCGGATGCTCTGATGAAGCGTCCATGTAGTCTTCACAAGAGACCAAGGCGGGTGGGAGAGCAGAGTGTATGTATGTATTTATATCTGAAAAAGAGAAGGTCAGCCATGGAAGAATGAACCCATCACGATTGTGCGGCACTCGGGGAGTAAGAAAGCTTCGAGGTTACCAAGTTCAAGCACAGATGAGAAGACAAACCGACAGGGGCAAGGATGGGTGGAAGGCCATTTCTGGCCACCTTGCTCAACTCCTCTCACTGGGCTTGAATCGGGGATGGGACAATGGAGCAGCAGCAAAGACATGACTGAAGACCCAAGACAGTGGCTTTCTGTCTCAAGATTGTGAAAATGTCAAATGTTACATAAGGAGTGGGGTGGGCAGGAAAATGTTGATAACCTCAAAGGGTGAATGGATAGATTCACTGGAAACTGTAGTCACTCATTTCTAAACTATCCTCACCGCCTAACCCATGGACCCTAAGACTTCCATAAACCCTGGAATGGGGAGTACAAAACCTACCCCAGTCTTATCTCTTACTCTTCAACTTGGTCATTCCAGGCTACAGGTAAACCCCACTGCCTCCCACAAAATACCATGGACTCTATGGGAAAAAAGACCATGAGAAAGATGGTGATTCTGTTCAATTTCACACAGAGGATCAAGCCCCTAGCCCCTCCAAGTCTTCTATCACATGATGCCCCAGTATGACTAGTTTGTCAGGAGTTCCATACCCCTGGTGCACTGGCTTTTCAACCAGCACAGCGGGCTATTGGTGAAACCCTCACAGCCTTCCTCCTTTCTCCCCTCCTCACTCTACCTGTGCATCTGTGGATTCCTAAGCGATGCCCCCCAGTGCCCGCCCTCTCAGCAGCACCTGCTCTAATGCTCAGCTAATAGTTCTGGACCTCAGGCACTGTCCTAACGCATCCTATAACTCACAATGCAATTACTGTGGTAGGGAAATTGGAAGCAAATTTAATAAGCTCAGCCCCCTCCTACATGCTGTTTCTTCACTCTTCTCTTTTCAGTAATGAGAATTCTTTAAGGGAAAAGGCCTTTTTCCCTTTAACAGAGGCTATTCTCCTGATCCCTTATCTGAAGCCCATGAGGATGGGAGGATATGGAGAAGGGGACTTCCTCTAGCTCCTTTTGTCCTGTTCACTCGTAAGGCAGATAGGAAGAAAGCAATCAGTTTTCTTTCCAGGTTTACTCTCCCTTTCATCTGCTCAGCTAACATTTATTGAATTCCTATCACACATCACAGATTTCTCCCCCTAGAGGGCAACTGGTATCATAACTGGTTGAACCTTAGCTGCAAGGCATGATGGGAAAAGGGAGAGATTAAACTGTGTCTATGGAGTCGGGGCCCCCAGGGTGGGCCAAGAGCTATAGTAGGAGCTTCTTGGTAAAGGTGATGCCAGTTGCCAACAGGATGGCAGCATATTGACCCTTGTGGTTGAAGAAACTGAGAGGAGGGGGCAGGAAGGAACCAGAGAAGCCAGAGTCTCCAAAAGAACTGAGACAGAGCCTGTCTCCTGGACAGAGGCAGAGGGCTGCAGCATGTAGGCAGGTAGGCATCTTTATTCCAGGGCCTACTGTCTACTCAAACCCAGGGCCTCTAGGCTGGACCCACCCACCAACCATGGACTTTATCTGATCCACAAAAGGAAGCCACAGCGCCAGCTGATGCTCTGTGGTTTGCAAATTTGAACAGGCATCAGAATCACTGGTGGTGTGTGTTGAGACACAGATCACCAGGCCCCACCCTAGAGCACCTCACTCAGTAGTTCTGGGGGGAAGCTTAGAATCTGCAATTCTAACTGGTGATGCCGATGCTGGTCTCCTGGTCTGGGAAACCACACTCTGAGAATTATTGTTCTAAGCCTTTGCTATTTGATGTGAGCCCTGGACCATCCATCAGCAGACGCTGGGAGTCTGACAGGAATGCAGACTCTCAGGCCCCACCGCAGACCTGCTGAATCAGTGTGACAAGAACCTCAGATGATTTAAGTTCAAGAAACACTTACCTGTGGTGGCGGTTCTCAATCCTGGCTGCTCGATAGAATCACTGGGGGAGCTCAGAAAAGAGATGCTTCAGCTGGTTGGAGTCTGGCATCAGCATTTTTTAAAAGTTTCCCAAGTAATTCTTAGGAGATGCCTGGATTGAGAACCGCTGGGACTCCCACTGATGACTAACACTCCATATCCATTTTTCCAGCACTGAACTTATCCGTCATGACTGTGGGGAGGGTCGGGAGGAAGTACCTGAAAAGGCGAGTGTCTGGGACCACCCGGTTGCTGGCGATCCGCTCGCTCTCCCGCTGGTTGAAAGCATACAGCTTATAGGGATCATCGCCGACACGCCACTTCTTGGCATTCAGATACCGCCGCTCATCAAACTGGTCCCATGGGTCATCCCAGTCACCATCCGAAATCTATGGGACATGAAGGGGAAGTTGGTGAGGATAGTTCCAGGCCCTCTCAGCTTCCTCTGTCAGTGCCCAGAGACCGGCAAGGTACAAGGCAAAGATGGGACCAGACGCAGGACATTAATAAAACCATCAGCAGTAATAATAAACAATGATGACGACAATGGCAGCTACCATTTAATAAGTGCTGTACTCATATACCAGGCACTGGGTTAGGACCTATACACACTTTTCTCATGTAATTCTCATAATTTTAGGAAATGGATGTTGCTCGTATCCCCACTACGCAGACAAGGAAGCCATCTCAACAGCCCAAGCACCTTGCTCAAGATACCACAATTAGGAAGCAACAGGGCTGGGACTTGGATTCTAGAATACTAACCCCACAGGCCACCTCTCTGGGGTAATTTGAGACACATGACGGAAAGTGCCGGCACAACGGCTGACACATAGTAGGTATACACAATGACTGCCATTCCCTGCTCTGCCCAAGGAAGGCAGCAATGGAAAGCAAGCGATCCATCTATAACGGGGATGCTACCTGCTGAACAGACACCTTGTGTGTTCCTTCCTTCCTCTAACCCAGAAATCTATGTTTATTTTTAAGAAGCCTCCAAGGGGGAGCAAGTAACAACCCTCATCATATGAAGAGACAGCACTTTAGAATGTGTAAAGCGATTTCTGCATTCATCATCTCAATTCATTCTCACCAAGGCCCTCTGCAGGGTAGGGAAGACAAAGTTTCAGAAAGGTGACTGGCTTGTCTGAGGTCCCCAGGTGGATGGTGGCAGAGCCCATGCAGAGCTCTGTCTCTTGGACCCTCCAGTGCAGAGGAGGGAAGGAGATTCACACAGGGAGAAGCCAGTTCCTGCCCAGACCCTGGGCTGCCGCTCTGCCCTGCCCACCCAGCTCTGCACCCACCAGAAATTCCTCACAGCCAGTAGGGGGTGTGGGCTTCAGGGCCTCTGCAAGCTGGGTGCTTCCCTTGATAGTCACTGCCCAGTGGATGCTAGCACTGTCCCTGCTAGGGGAGAGGCAATCTGTATCAGCAAAGCTCAGACCTTTTAGGTTCATCAAAGCCAAAAGAACACTGCATCTGGAAAAACCTATTGACCAGGCTCTGACCTGGACCATGAGGGCTGGAGTCCAGGGACTGGCATAGTCACCAAGGATGAGATGTTCATTCATGTGTTCCTGACCCTTGGCCCTGTGCAAGTATCTGAAGCTGCCTGGGTACCACCCATCCCATCACTACCAGGATGCCCTTCTGTCCTCCAGGCACCTAACAGGAGAGCCCAGGGCAGGCACCGCAGACAGCAATGCAGGCGCTCAGCCCACACTTGGCAGTTAAGGGGGGCCACTCATGCCCACATGCACATTCATCTCAGGCACCCCTCCAGCTTATCAGGTAATTGATCTCTCCCTTTCACACTCTCTTTCTGTATTATCTTCTTTTGAAACAGTGTTCTCCTGCTAATAGCACAAAATGAAGCATTGGACACCAGTGATTTTTATCCAATAATTGATTTTATTAATGTCCTGTGATATGCTGCTACATGGGGACATTGTGAGGGAGTTTGAAACCCCAGCCTGGGCTGTGCCATGCCATAGCCTGACAGCTGTCACCTGTGCTTGGAACATGACCTCAGGGCTACCCTGACATCTCACTCTTGCAGGAAGGGCCATGCAGCTGGCTCATGCCCAATGAATTTACTGCAAATCTCAAAAAATAATCTGTGAGCCCCTACAGTGCAGTGTACCAGGGAGGAGGAGATGCAGAGACGGCAGTCCCCTGCCCTTCAGCGGGTTGCAATGTTGCATGAAGATGTCTATAACAGAGGAGGGATAGGAATAGGAACAGTCTCCCAGAAGAAACATCAAATGAGTTAGGGCTTGAAGGATGTGCTGGGATTTTGCTTTGCTGAAGGGGAGATGGGAAGGAAAGTGTGTGCAGTGAAAATCCAGAAAAGAGACATGACGGCTTAAAGCCATTGGGGAATGGCTAGCTCAGGATTGGGGAAGCCAGGGCTGGGACTGCAAAGAAAGCATGAGTGAAAGAACATTCTGGAATGTAGATGATCCTGTATGAAGCAGGTTGGGGGAAACTGTCTGGCTACATGTGTAGGAGGGAGGGGAGGGAAGAGAGCTCCGTAGGAGACCAGCTGGGAGGTGACCTTAGCCCTTGAGCCTGGTGGGAAGGGAAGCCTGCTGGGGTCCAGGTGGATGGTTCCACCCACTGGCTGGAGAAGCCGGGGGTGGGGCAGGCCCTGTGGGGAGGCATGGGGGCTGGAGAGATGACTTGACCTGCAGAGACAGCACTCGACCAACCTGGCTTCATCCCCACCCCCACTCTCTATTCACACCAGACCAGGCTCAAGGCCAAGAGAGCACAAGGCTCGGGGTGTTCCTCAGCCTGGCAATCGCCACCCTAGGGTAGCTAAGCACCCTTGACATCCTTGGAGATGGCACCACAAGAACTGAGCTGGCTTCCAGAAATCCTAGAACCAGAGCAGCAGCCACGCTGGCAAGAAAAACTGTCTGAACAGTTAGTCAAGGTGTCCTTGCAGGGGACTGAAGAGACCACTCCCTCAGATGGTCACGAGCATGGAGAGGGTTCACACTTCCCTGCACTGGATCCACTATGGGGATCTCCCTGTACTGGGAGCCTGGCATTCCTATAATGAAGTCTGGGTGCATTAAGTAATGGTGAGGCTGTGTTTAAGACAATGCTACCAGTTGAGTAGCAATTTGTTTTACAAAGTACCTTGCAGGTGCATGGCAGAATCCCCCATTTGGATGAGGCGGGGTCAGCTTAGAGAGGTAAGGTGGCTCATCCATGCTGACAGCTGGTAAGTGAAGGGACCCCTGACAGGGTCTCCCCAGAGCGTCCCAGCACCATGAACAGAAAAAAGGTTGTCCTCTCTGCTGAGGGTGAGTGAGCAGAGAAAGACCCCCTCTGGGGAGTGGGGTGGAGGACAAGCCCAGAGGAAGGACCCCAGCCCCTCTTGCCCTACTTGTCCCCGGAATAGAGTGACCACAGTTCTCCAAGGACTTCTGAAGGGGCAGTGACTTCACAGGCCTGTTTTGGGGGCTGATTTCCAAGCTCTTCAATCCATAAGTCCTGCGTCTGGTGTCTAAGGGCCCAGAATGCTTCTGAACATGTATTTTCACCTTAACAAGCCTTCCTAGCCCAAGAAGTAGAATGCTGCTGCTCCAAACAAGGACACAGGAGTCCCAAGAGGGCCCACCCCAGAACTGCACCCACTCCCACATGGCTGCCCCCAAGCTGCCCTCACTCAACTTTCTGACCAAAATTCATTCGGTCTAGAGTGGGCGTGTTTCCAAAGAGGGGTATAAAGCCACGAACAGAAACAAAAATCATCTTTTAAACAGAAAATTTCTGACTAAGCCAGCCAACCCCCTGGCCAAGACCAGTGCTTAAATAACTTGGCACCAAAATCAAAAGCTCAAAAGCACATCTGTTAAGCTGCTTCCTGTCTTTCCTCCCACCAGGCTTCTGTGAGAAATCTGGAACCCCTTCCCTTCATCCTTCCCTGGCCTAGTTTCTCTCGCTCTGTTTTCCAGCTGATTATCTGGCTCAGGAATCACGGGGGTAGCCTTCCCTTCTGTTAGGTTCTGAGGCTGCCTCTATGTTTCACTAATGGTTTTGTCTCCCTCCCTTCTTTCCCAAGCTTGGCACTGCCAGTTTTCTCTTATTGCTCTAATTCTCTTCTTCAAATGACAAAATCTCTAGACCTTGCTAAGGCTTCCATCCTACTCTGAACTGCGCCTGATCCTCAAGGAACATCTCAGAGTCACCCTGCGACAGCTAACACCTTGAGGGGCATCCACCATGTGTCCTAAACATTTACATTTAATCCTCACTATGATGTGTGCATTGTTTTAGTCCTGTTCGACTCTGCGACCCTATGGACTGTAGCCCGCCAGGCTCATCTGTCCATGGGATTCTCCAGGCAAGAATACTGAATTGGGTTGCCATGCCCTCCTTCAGGGATATTCCTGACCCAGGGATTGAATCCATGTCTCTTAAGTCTCCTGCATTGACAGGCAGGTTCTTTACCACTACGCCACCCAGGAAGTCCACAATCCTTACTATAATGAATATCAATAGGACTGTCCCCATCTTGTAACTGGGAAAACTGAGGCACAGAGAGATTGAGTAACTTACCCAATGTCACACAGATAGGAAGTGTTAGAGCCAGGATTTGAACCCCAGGGTAGCCTGGCTTCAGTTCCATGTGTTCAGTCATTAGGTGACTCTGCCTGGCTTCATCTTCACTGCCATTTTCTTGGGTCTTCAAAGACTGTCTGTGTGTTTCCCACCATTTTTCTAGGTCCAGTTCTTTCTTTTCTTAGAGATCTTCCTCCAAGCAAAGACATCTGTACACCCCTCTTAACATCCCCCTGCCTGCTCTTCACTCCCCCATCTGGGCAGCTGTTCTCCTCCCAACAGTGGCCTTGATCCTGACAGCCCAGGGCAAGAAAAGGGGGAGGTCTGCAGGCAGATTCCTGCAGGAAGATGGGAATGTGATAGAGTAGCACAGAGAAGGTCATCGTTGAAAAGAATGATAGAACTGATCATTTAAAGACAGAATAGGGACTTCCCTACAGCCACTGGTGGACCAGTGGTTAAGGGCTCCTGTTCCAGTCAAGGGGTGTGGGTTGATCCCTGGTCCAGAAGCTAAGATCCCATATGCCTCATGGCCAAAAATCCAAAACATAAAACAGAAGCAATAGTGTAACAAACTCAATAAAGGCTTTAAAAATGGTCCACATCAAAAAAAAAATCTTAAAAAAAATAAAGATGATATAATTCATCTATCCAACCAATGTGTGAAACTCCAGTGTAACATTCAGCTGGATCCAATGCACATTCCTCCAGTTAGGAACACAGAGGCCCCAAGATGCCCACTCCAAGCTTCGAAGGACTATATATAACTTCTAGAAGTTTTCTTCTAATTTTGAACCAGAATTTGTCTCCTTGT